CGATACCAATAAGTCCCACGTCTATATGCCACACTTGGTGTCGACAAATCAAGGTTGCCAAACAGGAAGTGATGCCATTATGACATATTGACATGCCCTCAGTTTCTGTGTGGTGGGACATAGATAAATATAATAGTTTTTTACCCACTTTGCCACATATGGTCATATGGTTTACTGTATACAAGGTCATTGAACTCCAAAGTAATGGGTCCATTATGTTTCAGCTCCATATTTTTAATAATGGAATTTACTAGTGTAGCTTTCTACGATTCACAATTTAAAATAATTCTTGATATCTTATTTTGGGGCTCAGTTCACTTCTGTCTAAAATAAGCACCTCCTCTTTTAAGCCAAAGGTCTTCTGATTGGATGTGCCTTTCCAAACAGGATGTTTGAACAGCAAGTCGGTGGCATTTCTCTTAGTTAGAGCTGTGCATCTGTGATGACCATACTAAAGATATCTGCTCTCACTGACATCATACAGAAGCAAGAGTAGAAAAACATAGTCTGAAACAGACGAATTAAAACAGTCTGAAGCCAGAGTTATGGCTCACAGAGATCATTTGCAAATACACACAGCCATTTATTGTAAAGCTATGCATAGACATGCTAAAGAATAAAGGAAAAACCTAGCAGTCATTAGATTTTGATTAAATATAGTATAGTGTTGGCCAGGCTGTACCATTCTTCTGATCTCCCTTTGACGTCACTATACATTAGCAAGCAATTTTAGAAGGTCAATCTATCAAGCAAAAAAATAAGAGTGCCTTTTCTTGTTGCAGTGCTTTAATTACACCATATTTTTAAACAACCTCGGTGATCAATCTATGCACAAAGTCAGGCATCAATACATGAAACAGTTGCTGAGATGTGTTTGTTAACTTTGGCTCCTGATTTCAAATGGACCTAACAAACCAAAAATCCATGTGATAACATTTGTGGAGTTTGCACTGTAAAAAACATCTTTATCTATTTATTTATTTTTACTTATATGTAAACACCTACTAGGATAAGATTTCTTTTAATTCAGATGAAAACTAAGTGACATATTACTATACTATTATTTATTTAAGAAAAATTAAGTTAAAGCAGTGTGTGGGAAAAACTGAGTACACCTATGACTGTACATTGTTGACTGAACCAGAGCCTGTTTAACAACCTTTAGGAGCAATAACTTTTTTTAAACAATTGTTTCTTGTACGACTTCAATAGTCTCTCACATCATTTGAGAGACTGCCAAAAATTTTTCATTTTTTCAGCCATTCTTTTGTAGATTTGCTAATAGTCATGTTACATGACCCAATTTGGGCCAAGCCTTAGCTAACGGCCTTACACTTGACAAGGACTTCAACTCAGTGACTGCAAGGTGCTGCAAAACAAGCCCAAATCATCAGCCCTCCAACACCGTGCTTGACAGCTGGTACGAGGTGTTTGTTTTTTCACAAACATTGCACTGTGCATTTTGGCCAAACTCTTCTACTTCAGTTGTATCTGTTCAAAGGATATTGTTCCTGAAATCTTTTGGTTTGCTCAGAAGTAGCTTTGCAAATGTAGGCCATACTACTACGTATGTTTTTTTTTTATTAGAGCGAAGAGGCTTTCTCCTGGCAACCCTTCCAAAGAAGGCATACTTGTTCAGACTTTTTGCAATTGTACCATCATGAATTTTAGCATTTACCACTTTCAATTTCTCTGGGTATTGCACAGTCTGACCTTGGGGTGAATTTGCTGGGATGTCTAGTTTGGAAAGACTAGCACCTAGGGATGGAAATTGATAAGAATATAGCGATTACGATTCCATTATCAATATCACTTATTGATTCGATTCCTTATCGATTCTCACCAGCTTCTCTTTGAGAGTCACCACTATGACCATCACCATCTGGTCAGATGTTTGCGCCTGTTGGAGGTATTTCCCCTCTTTGTTGTGATCGGTCTTAGGGTCATTAGTCAAATAAGTAATTATTATACAGGACACTTTTGTTTAAAGTAATGCATTAGAGTTTTTAATTGCTCCTTCTACTACTCGTTACATTACTTTCATGTCACTCTGTAAAATGACCTGAAATGCGTTGTCTCACAATTACAGTTTCACAATATAAAGCTCTGGCTAATGTCTTACACACCAACACAAATCCCTGTCCTAATGAGGACACACATATAATCTTCATCTTAGTATTACACAAAGCCTCTCAGTGGAACAAAAAGTTAACAGCACAAAGAAAAGATGAAAACCCGCATGAGGAGATTTTTAAGTGATCATCATAGTGATTCTATTAAAGAAAGATAGAAACTGGCTGGAGTCTGACTGCTCATCAGTTTGTTACCTGTTGAAATTCAGGGTCTGGCTGCTGGGCTGGGGTCGGCATTCACTCAGCTTTCACTCTGGGTTCTTGGCTAGCTTAGCGTTAGCATGCTATCTGTGCAGATGCTTACAAAGAGCAAAGTTGCGTTAGCAGCATAATGAAGCTGTTTCTGTCCTTGATGCAGTTAGCACTTTACCATTACACTTGTTTTTATGGGCAAAAAAATACTAAATAAAATAAAATAATAGTAATGTCCATATCCACGCTGTAGACTGTGTCACTGTTTTCCTCCTCCACACACAAACTGAAATCTTGTAGTGCAAGAACTGATAAGTGAGATTGATAGGAAGGCAGACTAACAATTCCAATAGAACTAGACTACTGGGAACCAGTTCTTAATTCCCATCCCTACTGGCGTCTGTCTTAAATGTTTTCCACTTGTAAGTAGTCTTTCCTCACTGTAGAAAGATGGACTTTAACTTTGTTTGGAAATGGCCTTATAACCTTTCCCAGATTGATGGGCAGCAGCAATTGCTTCTCTCGGATTATTGCTGATATCTTTCCTTCTTGGTATTGTGTTAACACACACCTGAATGCACCAGACCTGTGCACTGCTTTTATAGATGTGATCAAACTTGGTAATGATCAGTGAATCAAGAACATTTGGTTAGCATTGCCCAACAGCTGAGTTTTGACTTTGTTGTTGTTAAACATATAATACGACCAGATAAAGGTCAGATTTTCCTGATATGAAAACCTTAAAACTGAAAGATGGTGTCCTTTCTTTTTAACATAACTGCATCTTTATCTTTGGCTTGTTTTTGGCGTTTGAGAGCTCAAGATACAGATGTAAGATCGAGGTTCTGTTCCCAGTCAGTGGGGCAGACTTTGCAACTTTTTAGTCTATGGTTCAAGGGGCTAATACAGACTTCCTGGTCCTCCAAAATAATACAAAATAAAGATAAAATTACTAGTTCATAACATTATTCCCCTCAGTCAGCAATGGCAATGGTTAATACTAAGAGAAGTGAGTTGCTGAAAAGTATTGTTTCTGATTTTGTCCTGTCAATTTAACAGCTTCCTTAAATCCACATCTATAATTTTCATCTAAAGTTTGAATCCTCAGCTAGTTAACTTTAAGTCCTTCTCAGCTGGCCATTGCCTCATGTTGAGTTGTGATCAAGGGTGGGTCAACCTTCCATGCAAAATGAATCCTGGCCTGCTTTCATTAGGGCACTTTTTTTTATCACTGCAGCAGATGGCGAAACACACACGTTCAGTGACACACACATTGCAGCCCCCTGAGAAGCAACCTCGCCTCCTCTCTCAACTTTTCTCAATTTTTCCTCTCCCACTTTTACTCATCTATCACTTCCGCCTCACACCCTAACAGTGGAAACTTCAAAGTGGCTGCTATTTAGAGGTTACCCTACATCCTGGTTGCTTTGTAAGCATTGTTGCCTTCCCTAACGAGTAAATGGGCTGCGTTTGAAATGGAAGTAGCTACCACGAACACAAAGTATCTGACACGCATGTTCATACTGTGGACTGCAGAAAACAACCAACCTAAAAATGTGCCTTGAGTATCTCTTTAGCACATATCGACTGAGAGCTGTTTCCACGCAGGAAAATGAGGTGCAGGTCAGGCACTGAAATAAACAACCCACGCAGCATGCTATATATGTTTGTATTTCAGGAGCCCATTTATGGGGTCTCTAAGGACTTTTCTCAGCTCTTCTTTGTCTGACTGCACTGTTGGACAGGGAAAACACTGAGAATATAGAGCTGGAAGGCATTTTCCTGAGGGACATTCACAGCATATAATTTACTTCATTTACATCACCTCCGGTGTTTTTTTCTTTCTTTTGTCACAGCATATGCAACATGCAGACAGTTTTGCATGATCTCACTCCAGTTAATGATCCAATTAGAGATTTCTGAATTTTATCCCTCTGTTTTCCTCGTCGAGATGTGATTTGGCTCCCGATTTTCCAACCTCTGCTGTGTGTATTTGAGATGCAGCGCTGTGTCTGTCAGCGATAGCCATCAAGGTTTAAGGTCAACAGATGCAGGACAGACCACGGCCAAAAGCTGATGGATTACAACGCTTTGATTTACGGCACAATACCACAGCCACCACACACACAAAATGCACGATTCTTCACACACGCCTACATTTTCAGCAGTCAATTAGGTGCATAAATATTTTCTGTGGACAAAGAATACACATACATACTGGGTACAGCATGCATGTGTCAAGTGTCATCACCTGTCAAACAGTAGCGTGGCAGGAAAGAGAGTGGGCTGGTTTGGAAAGCAGACAGGGGTAAATACCATCACCTATTATAGACATTGCCCAATGGCACAGTTGCGCGCACACATGCACACACACGGACACATGTATATTGTTAAATCCACAGTTCAAACAGAGGACAAGTGGCCTGGAGCACTCTAAAGCAACAGTGAATAACAATTTCTCTTTTTATACAACTTCTTATTGCAGCTTACAGCACATTCATCTTAATACCATAATGCACTTCTTGTGCCATATTCACCACTCTGAGCAAACATATATGACTCCATCACTAAAGCACAATGACGCAACATGATGGATGCTGCTCACAGTAACATGCAAATCCTCACATTCAGGATTCAAACGTGTTCAGTGTGTGCATTTTAAATACAAATTCTTACCTTTGTGGTAGGACACTTGCTTGGATTGCAAGGAAAAGGTTCCCATCACAAGACCCATGTTGACTTCTGGCTGCTGGAAGGTTGTGCGTGCTGGCGTAAGTGAGTGTGTTTATGAGCGCGCGCTGGTCTGCCTGCCTATGATCAAGGTGTGCTAGTAAGTATGCGTACAGTAGGTGAGCGTAAATTTGTGATTAAGTTAGTCCATCAGCCAGCTGTATGTGTAGAAGTACAGATATCACTTCTCATGCTGCCTCACACCCACACAGCTCTGCCGCTTCTGCTCGAGGGTGTGTGTGAGAGAGAGAGTGTGAGTGAGAGGAGAGAGAGTGGGAGAGACAGAGAGAGAGTATGCGTGTGTGTGTGTGTGTTTCTATGTATGCGTCTGTAAATGAAATAAGCGGCACACATCCACTCTCAGGCTGCCTTTGTCTACCCTGCCACTGAAGCTGTCTATTTTACATCCCTTCTATCTCTTTGTCCACCAGTCCCCAGTCACCAGACTGTCATCCCATCAATTCCTCTGTGCCTCTTCATGTATCTGCCTCTATGTCTCTGCTTCTCCCTGCTCCCGTTTTCTCTCCCATTCGTCTGAGTCGCTCTGTCTCTTTGTCTGTCTGGTGGGGAACGGGGAATTTGCACACTGTTGCACAGGAAAAGGCAGAGACAGAGACGGGAGAGATGGGGCAAGAGAGGAGGACAAAACTCAAGAGAGGGCAAGCGAGAGGAGGAAGAAGAGATGAGGAAATTAGGAGAAGAAAGAGGAGAGGGTGAGGAGAAGAGGAAGAGGAGACAGAGACAAATCAGGAGGATTCACAAACGGCAGGGGAGGCAAAGTGAGGAGGCGAGAGGGTGGGAGGGGAATACCGTGAAAGAAAGAGATGGAGTGAGATGAGGAGTGCAAGAGGTGAGGTGAGATAAGGGAGGAATAGACTGATCCGTGCCCCCCTTTGTTATTCAGCAGGCAAACAGTCTGAGTGTGGAGAGTGCATTCGCTGCTTTATCTCTACATGCACAAGTGTGGCAGGTGGTGTGTGTGTGTGTGTGTGTATGCGATTGTGTGCGTGTAATTATTCTGCTCGCGGGTGGGTCATGGACAAAACCCTCTACGTGTGGCAAAGCTACATCCTCAGAAACGCTGCCTCGCATTTGTCAGCGACTGCATCGACATGCTGTATCAGACATGTTTTTGTGCTCAAGTCTCCTGATGAACTCATCAACTACACACACACACACACGCACACACAGAGGCCACACACCATCTACAACAATACACCCAGGAGAGCGATGCCAGTCTGCAACACAGTCCAACTCATACATGCACTCCTTACTCCCATCAGTCACGCTTAACCCCTTGGTGCCCTCTGTGTTACACCGGTTGTTCAGATTGGCAGGCTGCGCTGATGCCACTGATGGCAGCCCTTATTGAAATTCCTCACATGGCTTTAGTTAAGAAAACAATTTACTGCTGAGCCATCGCTGTGGTTGAGCTGAGGCCATCAAGGCCAATGATAAAGTCATTAGGGCATGGCATTCATTAAAGGCTAGCTGCAGTAGCCTGCATGCTCAGGATCAATGCAGAGTAAAATAAGAGAGGGTAGAAGGCAGTGCAAGAGACTGAGAAAAAGAAAATTAAGAACAGGGTAGTGAAAGGTGGATAGACAAAGAAAGTGAGAAAAATGAGCACTGCAGGGCAGGAGTATGTGTGTGCGTGAGTGAGTGCGTTCAATGGTGAGAGACATTTTTTGGGTATGCAAGAGCTCACACCTCCCCTATCCCTTTTCTATCTCTGCAGAAAGGAGGAGATCATACGTGATTCTCTTATCAAAATCAAACACTAAAGAGGAAAAAACATTTTGCACATGCGTGCACGCATACGCACAAACGCTGACAAACACTCAGTGCTTACAGCAAGTAAGAGCGGCAATAAATCAACACAGAGAAGCAGGTCTTTGAGTACACACTACAGCAATGACACAAAGACATGCTGATTAAATTCTGAAAGCCCGGCTGAATAGGCGAGATAAGGGAGCGTGATTTGCTGTAGTGATGATGTTTAACTTCAGTGAAGGGGTTACATACACATCCATCAATAGAGAGAAAAGCCTTCGGTTGATCAAACACTTTGAAAACCCAGTGGATAAACTGAAAAAGCTCACAGGGGGAACGCTGAAAAACGTGTTGTTTTGATCAGTCTCTGCAAAGCTGACATTTTCCAAATACCAAGTTTTCAAACAACACAGGCTGAAGAAAACAAGCTGCAATTACAGAATGGAATAGAATAGAATAGAATAGAATAGAATAGAATAGAATAGAAAGTAAATTCTTAACCTTGAAAATAGCTGAAAAACCTTGGGCAAAAGCCCCTCAAGCCTAAAGAAGATGATATTTTTTAGTCTGTAAAGACCTCCAAAGCAGTTACTCAGTGGATCTTGTCGTGCTCTCTGTTGTGTGCCTTTTACTTGTTTTTGTATATATTTATTTTGATTGTATATAGTTCTCCTGTTTGTTATTTATTCCTGCTGTCTTACTTTTCGTATTTTATTCCAGAACAGTTAGTGTGGAACACCCACAAGACATGTATAATCAAAATAAAGGACTATTCTATTGTATTGTATTGTATTCTATTCTATTCTATTGCAGTGAGAATGGTTTGTCCTCTGGAAAAAAAAGCCTGAACAAAAGTTTTTCAAAAATCTTTGAATTCCAAAACCCAGAAACAGTGAGAACATCTGCACAGGAAAAGCTGCAGCATCAATCACTTCTCCAATGACGCAAACGCCTCCATGTACATGTTCAACTCAGCTCAGTTAGAACTTAAAGAGTTATGACTCCTGTCTGTTGGAAACAAAGACAATATTGCACTGTTTCGGAACAGTCCACAGATGGGAGATGGATCATCGAACTGCTGGACTTGCCTGCCGCTGGCTTCCTTTTTGTAGCAACCAGCAGCAACTATAAGCCATCTGTACCCAGCAATATTTTCAGTGCTATTATAAAATAGTATATATTTTTCTACATTGTCCTTTGAAATCAGTTTGGAAAGCTCCAATGAAAGTGCATAAGTGTCAGAGGGTCTGGGCAAATCTTGTGTTTATTTTCAGGTTGTTTTGAGTGTGGAGGTTTGATTTTTAAACCTCAGAACACCAACACTAAGTGTTGCCTTCATTCAGTCACACTAGAGTAAAACTAGGACAGAAATCTCCATGCAGCCAGGAAAAATTAGTGGTTTCCCAGTGATTGCATTGAGATTTTTTGCATTTGGAGATTGATTGGAAGTAGTTGAGGTGACTAAACTTGGCAGTCAGAAACTTAGCATGCAGCAGTCTCAATTCGTGGGTAACAACTGGTGATTGCAAGGTGACGGTAGAGGTCGCCTGGTGAAAGCCAACCTGTCTCCAAGCAATTGTGGTCCAACTTGGACCACTATGAGCACTCTCACACAGATTAGCAAAGGTCTGCATATAACTGAAGCCTGATTTGATGTGATGTGACTTTGTAGGGACTTGACTCAATAAGATTGTTCAACTACTCATCTCAAGTAACTAAGTGGCTGCGTTTTGTTGATATTCCTATGTAAAAGCAAGGTTGCTAAGGACCTATGTCATTTTGCAGTCATGTCACCATCGTGCAGCACTTTAAATGAAGAAAGTGAAGAAATACTGGGCTCAGACAGCATCAGCCGATTGTGAACAGCTGCCCAAAAGAGGTCATGACAT